AATTAGGAGTTTAATTTTTTTAAAATATAGACACGTTTTAACAAGAAAAGTATTAGCTTATACAATCCGTAGTTTTACATTCAATTATTTTAGTAGCTTTTTGGTGCATGTTTTTAAAACATTTCATATCTTTTTTATATAGAAGTGTAACTAATCCTTAAATAATAGGTTTTTTGTTTATTTCTGCAGATTATCCAACAAATGAAAGAACAATTAAAGTCTACATGAATGGCGTCTATCCTGAACTACATTCTTGATTTGCTGTTTTCGTCTTCACCTTGCAACGCTATACAGATAATTTTTAATTATGGGTGAAAGCAACTGAAGATTTATTTGAATTCCATTGAAACAACAATTTTTCTGTCATGGAATTCTTCCTGGATTTGGTTTGCTTATCACACCTGCAAACTCTGGAGTGTCACAGTCTACATTTAATAATTAAGGTGAGAATATGTAATTAATTTATTTTAAGTCTTCATTTAAAAACTTGTAAGTCATAATTAATGTTTTTAGATTATTACAACTTTCCATTATTAACTTAGGCATGGTACTTATTGTAACTAATTTCATTTGAAAACAATTATTTAAAGAAAAATGCTTATAAAGTTCATTACTGTCAGTATACAATATATTTTTGATGTTAAAAGAGGAAAGGATTCGGCATTACTTTAATATCATATTATGCAGGTTTTTTAATAGGGAGGCTAGATTAATTATATCTAATTACTCTCATAATATTTTATTTTTTAGGATAAAAACTCGGAATGACATGTGTTATAAAACATTGGTTGCTTGTTCACTCTGTAAAGTAGCAGTACCTACAGTCCTGAAGAAAGCGTGAAGGTGCTTATTTGCATTGGGAATTGAGACAATGTGTTATTGTACGAGGAAGGATTTATGACATGAATTGGTAAGTAACAATTGCAAATAGTAGATGAGGTCCTAAAACTTCCAACCCCCAATTAAAGAACGTTTTTATTTCTTGGTAATTAATATTTTAAACTCTGGTTTTGAAAGCTGAGTCTTTTAGTAAAGGTATTCAGCTACTTGCAGCTTGACGTTCAGAATACTTTGCAGTGAAGTTGATTGCCTACATTTAGGACGAATAGTCGCTAGCGGTATTTAAAACTATCGTATATGTATTTTAAACTCAAATTATCATGCTACTAATGTTACGGTGCGTGTCGAAACTCGTAAGCAACTAAATGTTTAAATAATTATGATTTTATGACACTTAACACTGTTAATGTAAATGAATGTTTCTGGCTATGTTTTGGACATTTCTCTAATGTGGACATTTTTACCTTGTGTCCTATACGTTACAATTTTTTTTACGATTTTTGATAGAAAAATTTAAAAAATACAGGTACACACAAAATTTCTATATAAATAGATTCTGCAATTACGATTTTATCTGTTGTATGTTTTTTTATTATTGGGTATCGGATTATCTTTTACGATTCCTATTGATTAAGTTTTTAAGTAAATGTGTATGTACTTTGCTTCGCTATATTTGATAATCTAAGAAAAGCATTGAGACCTGTTTTTGTCTGTTTAATATAACAAAGTTATCAGTTATCAGTTCAATACAAAAAAGTTGATTTTATAAAGTTTTTTGGTAATAAAATTAGCGTTTATAAAAAAGAATAAGTGCATAGTTGCTATAAACTAATTAATACACTTGTTTTTAAATAGGCTTTACAATACCAAGGGTCTTAAAAATAGATTATGCTGCAACGTAATAATATTAATACTGCGAAGAGCTTTTGTGAATGTAACGTTCCTTCCACACTAATAAAGAGCCTCGAAATATTTTGGGTAAGATTTTAACGTTTAATAATTGTACTTTATTCAATCCACTAAAATATAGACATGTTTTAACAAGAAAAGTATTAGCTTATATAATCCGTAGTTTTACATTCAATTATTTTAGTAGCTTTTTGGTGCATGTTTTTAAAACATTTCATATCTTTTTTATATAGGAGTGTAATTAATCCTTAAATAATAGGTTTTTTGTTTATTTCTGCAGATTATCCAACAAATGAAAGAACAATTAAAGTCTACATGAATGGCGTCTATCCTGAACTACATTCTTGATTTGCTGTTTTCGTCTTCACCTTGCAACGCTATACAGATAATTTTTAATTATGGGTGAAAGCAACTGAAGATTTATTTGAATTCCATTGAAACAACAATTTTTCTGTCATGGAATTCTTCCTGGATTTGGTTTGCTTATCACACCTGCAAACTCTGGAATGTCACAGTCTACATTTAATAATTAAGGTGAGAATATGTAATTAATTTATTTTAAGTCTTCATTTAAAAACTTGTAAGTCATAATTAATGTTTTTAGATTATTACAACTTTCCATTATTAACTTAGGCATGGTACTTATTGTAACTAATTTCATTTGAGAACATTTATTTAAAAAAATGCTTATAAAGTTCATTACTGTCAGTATACAATATATTTTTGATGTTAAAAGAGGAAAGGATTCGGCATTACTTTAATATCATATTATGCAGGTTTTTTAATAGGGAGGCTAGATTAATTATATCTAATTACTCTCATAATATTTTATTTTTTAGGATAAAAACTCGGAATGACATGTGTTATAAAACATTGGTTGCTTGTTCACTCTGTAAAGTAGCAGTACCTACAGTCCTGAAGAAAGCGTGAAGGTGCTTATTTGCATTGGGAATTGAGACAATGTGTTATTGTACGAGGAAGGATTTATGACATGAATTGGTAAGTAACAATTGCAAATAGTAGATGAGGTCCTAAAACTTCCAACCCCCAATTAAAGAACGTTTTTATTTCTTGGTAATTAATATTTTAAACTCTGGTTTTGAAAGCTGAGTCTTTTAGTAAAGGTATTCAGCTACTTGCAGCTTGACGTTCAGAATACTTTGCAGTGAAGTTGATTGCCTACATTTAGGACGAATAGTCGCTAGCGGTATTTAAAACTATCGTATATGTATTTTAAACTCAAATTATCATGCTACTAATGTTACGGTGCGTGTCGAAACTCGTAAGCAACTAAATGTTTAAATAATTATGATTTTATGACACTTAACACTGTTAATGTAAATGAATGTTTCTGGCTATGTTTTGGACATTTCTCTAATGTGGACATTTTTACCTTGTGTCCTATACGTTACAATTTTTTTTACGATTTTTGATAGAAAAAATTGCTTATAGTTAAAAATGCGGGAAAAAAACTGTTCCCTTTATTTGGGAAAATTGTGATGAGAGTATAAATAAAATAAAGAAGATGGATTAGTCTTAATCAAAAATAGAGATTGATTAAGAAGAAAAGTAATGTATCTATTATTATCGGATTCCGAATTGTCTTGTCTGAGGCTTTGAATCAAGATGAAAAGATAGATATGGTTTTCGTCTTTGGGGAATCGCTGAGCTTACACTCAACATGCCATGAGAGGATTTCGTCTTCATTCCTCAAGGACAAAAACCATATCTATCTATTTATCCTGTCATTTAATATTTAAAGTCATTAATAATTCGGACAGAGGAAAATTAAACCACATTAACTTATAATTAATATACCAAAAAAACTTTAATTGTGTACAATTTTTTTATAAATAACAACAAGGTACTTCTAAAATTGTACTTCAATTACCTATAATCTTAATTTGATTCGTTTAATGTTTAAAAAATTCAGTTTCTTGTCCATTTGCTT